TCTCTCTCTCTCTCTCTCTCTGTTGTGAGGGGAAAAAATGGTCGATAAACTCTAACACGATGTCCGCAAATCAGCTCAGCAATCTAGCACCCTGCTTGCCCATTACTATCCATCATTTGATACCCCAATTCTCCCAATATTCTCCACAGGAGGAGAGTTTTGGAGAAGCACCCCAAAGGGATCAATTGACCTAGTTATCTAACCCAGAGGAGCTTCTATTTAACCCTAAATAGACCCAGTTGTGCCCAGCCTAACTAACTCTGCCTGATCACCCCGTTAACTCAGTTTGACTCCAGAGCCTTCCAAGAAAAAGAACTGGAGAGAATGAATGAAAAAAGAGGAATTAAACAAAAAAAAAACCACAATTTTTTCCAATATATGACATATGGAGCTGAGTACTCAAACAATGGACATCCATTCCTCTTCTGATAAATACAAATTAACTTACATCCACCATGCAATCCCACTTTTAAGGCCGTTGCTACGAGAAAAGCACAAGTTTAATGGTCAAATTTATGCTAGTAGGAAACAAAATGAATAAGCCAGTCTCCAAGTTGACAGCAAGTCAAGAATTGCTTCAGGCATTGAGCCAAATTCAGAATTCTCTCTCTCTCTCTCTCTCTCTCTCTCTCTCTCTCTCTCTCTCTCTCTCTCTTGGTATGTTTGTGTTTTGTGTATGCATGTTTGTGCATATTGCTAGGTTATTAGTCAACAAAACAGACGATACCATGAAGCTTCTTGCAAGATAGTGGATCTACTATTAATATCTGTCTGGTAAAGAAGAAGTATTTTTTGCAAAGCGAAGGTAAGTCAACAATGAACGGATTGGATTTCATACCAAATCTTTCCAATCCAGCTGGATTGGAAGAAATTGACCAGATATTTGCAAGTCAATGCCTCCTTTCCTGCATGTTTCAGCTCTTGTATATTTCAGCCTCAGCTGTCATAGGACAAAGTGTTTGACTTGCAGAGAGAAAACATTTATGCTTGCCTTGGCTCCAGATGAAAATAAATGTAGAAGATAACTATAATTTATTCTTATTTTCCAAGTTTCCTTCTAGAGTATTTGATTTATTCTCACAGCTACCCTGTAAGAGAGATTAAACAGTGATGGGGATTAGCCCAAGGTGATCTTTTGAACTTTGAGGGCAGATCAGAATTTAGGTAGACCTGTTCTCAGAATAACAGAGTTGGAAGGGACCTTGGAGGTCATCTAGTCCAACCCACTGCTCAGGCAGGAAACTCTATACCATTTCAGACAAATAATAATAATAATAATAATAATAATAATAATAATAATAATAATAATAATAATAATAATAATAATAATAATAATAATAATAATAATAATAATAATAATAATAATAATAATAAAGTTGGAAGGGACCTTGGAGGTCATCTAGTCCAACCCCCTGCTCAGGCAGGAAACCCTATACCATTTCAGACAAATGGCTGTCCAGTCTCTTCTTAAAAGCTTCCAGTGTTGGAGCATTCACCGTTTCTGGAGGCAGGTTGTTCCACTGGTTAATTGTTCTCACTGTCAGGAAGTTTCTCCTTAGTTCTAGGTTGCTTCTCTCCTTGGTTAGTTTCCACCCGTTGCTTCTTGTCCTGCCTGCAGGCGCCTTGGAGAATAGCTTGACTGCCTCTTCTTTGGGGCAGCCCCTGAGATACTGGAAGACTGCTATCCTGTCCCCCCTCGTCCTTCTCTTCATTAAACTAGACATACCCAATTCCAGCAGCTGTTCCTTATATGCTTTATCCTCCAGTCCCCAACTCTTCTTAAATTATCTCCAGTGTTGGAGCACCCACAGCTTCCAAAGGCATAATCACAGTTGTGCTTTGGCAGAAATTAAATGTCTAAGCATCTTCCTAAGATTTCTGTTCTTTAAGATCATAAAGAGAGCCATCTTTCTAACTGGTATTTTTCAAACCTTCCATGATATCTTCAGTGATGGCGACAAAGACTGCACAAAACATTTTTTCTACTAAATCAAGCTGTGCTGCTCTTTCTTATTTGCTTCTCTAAAATGTAAAGGCAGGCATTCAAAAGTAGATTTTAAATACATCTGCAAAAAAGGAAAACCGTGTTAAAGTGCATGAAACTAAGTAATAATATATGTTATTGAGAGAAGATGATGGTTTGGCTTCTGTTTCAGATGTAGACGTGCATGTAATGTCCAAATTAGACACCTATTATCGGGGAAGGGGCAAGGAACCTAGAACTAAGCAACCTTAGAACTAAGGTTCTAAGCAACCTAGAAGAAGCAGTCTAGAACAGTGGTTCTCAACCTGTGGGTCGGGACCCCATTTGGGGTCGATCGACCATTTCACAGGGGTCGCCAAGCAAGGCTGTCCGCCATTTTTTTGTCCGCCATTTTTTCCCCCTTTTCCGGCAGGTGCCTTACCTCCCTTGAGCTGGGCCAGCTGGTGGTCGGCCTGCTCCGTCTCTGCCGCTTGCCAGCTACGCCTCGGCCGGCGCAGAGGGCGGAACCACGCATGCGCGGCACTCCCGGGCAGGGAAAGTCCTCGACTTACAACCGGTTGTGTAGTCCTCGACTTACGACCGGTTTAGTCCTCGACTTACGACCGGTTTAGTCCTCGACTTACGACCGATTGGGGTCGCGGCATTAAAAAGGTTGAGAAACACTGGATTAGAGGATAGAGAGAGAGAGGTAGAGAGAGATTAAGAGAGTGGTAAAGAGAGAGAGAGAGATGGAGATGGAGATTGGAGACTGGAGACATTAGAGGATAGATAGATAGATAGATAGATAGATAGATAGATAGATAGATAGATAGATAGATAGATAGATAGATAGATAGATAGATAGATAGATAGATAGATGTAAAGAGAGAGAGGTAGAGAGAGAGAGATGGAGATTGGAGACTGGAGAGATTAGAGGATAGAGAGAGAGAGAGGTAGAGAGAGAGAGAGTGGTAAAGAGAGAGAGAGATATGGAGATGGAGATTGGAGACTGGAGACATTAGAGGATAGATAGAGAGAGAGATGTAAAGAGAGAGAGGTAGAGAGAGAGATGGAGATTGGAGACTGGAGAGATTAGAGGATAGAGAGAGAGAGGTAGAGAGAGAGTGAGAGAGTGGTAAAGAGAGAGAGAGATGAAGATGGAGATTGGAGACTGGAGACATTAGAGGAGAGAAAGAAAGAAAGAGAGAGAGAGAAAGAAAGAGAGAGAGAGAGAGAGAGAGAGAGAGAGAGAGAGAGAGAGAGAGAGAGAGAGAGAGAGAGAGAGACTGATCAATGTTACACAATGCAGTAAGACAGCTGATTTTTTTTTAAAAAAAAAGCCAGAAGCCAAATTTATATAATTTTGGGGTTTGTTTTTACCATCAACAGCTCCTTTCCTGCTGGTAGTTTGGAAACAGTGGAGATGGGAGAACATCAGAAACGAAATCCTAGCAAACACCGCTATCCTAAATTGCCACGTGTCCAGGTTCCTTCAAGCGAATGGGACTCGTTCTTGATGAAGGTATCAGAGTTGGTTACCTTTTAGTTTACGGGACCCCGAAGTCAAGTCAAGTCCTCCCGTCTTACGGGCCTTAGGAAGTAAATTTCTCAGTGCTCGGACACGGTTGTGCAATGGGCCTGGACTCACAGAATTCCTTTAGCCACCAAAACAAGCACTTTCTCAAGGAAAGCTCCAATCTCATTGGTGGACAATACACGGATTCTCGGACCACTGTGGGATTCAGTTAATATATATTTTTTTATTAAAGTTTTTTATTTATAGTACAGTTAAAAACAAAGATGGGCATAACGTGACATTCCAAAATAAATATTCCTAACAATTTGTTCCTCTTGATACATGTAATTAATACATAGTTCTTAATCTCTATATAAACATACTCTTCTATACAATACAGTTGTATATATAGTAATGTCACAGCTACAAATATTCGGTTTTAATTGGCTTTTATAGGGGAAATGTTGTGTGTGTTGTTTGTATTGTGTTATTTTAATATGCTGTGAGCCGCCCTGAGTCCCGTGGGGAGAAGGGCGGCATATAAATTATGAAAAATAAAAAATAAATAAATAAATAGTTAAATATAATTCTATCTTAACGCTAATTTAAAACCCGAGCAGTTCTCCTGGATTCACACCGGTGATAAAATTTGTCCCAGATCTCGAAATAGTCTGATTCTGTCTTATCCTTCATTTCCATTGCAAGCCCATCCATTTCAGCACATGATAAAATGTTATATATAATCTCTTCTTCTGTTGGAATTCCTTTATTCCTCCAGTTTTGAGCATACACCAATCTAGCAGCCGTTGAGAATGTGTAACATCAAATAAAACACTCCTTTGTTGTATTTCTGCGTGGTTATGCCTAGTAAAAAGAGTTCTGGTTTTAACTCTACCACTAATTTTAATATTTCTTCCAGCCATTTTTTTAATCTTATTCCAAAAGTCACGGGCTCGTGGGCACTCCCACCACATATGATAATATGTCTCTTTTGCCAATTTACATTTCCAACATTTGGAGGAGACATTTGGACCCATTTTAGCTAATCTTACGGGTGGGAGATGCCACCTGTAGAACATTTTGTAGAGGTTTTCTTTGTAAGAGGTGGCCAGAATAAGCTTCCTGTTTCTTGCCCATAATTCCTGCCAGATGTGCAGATCAAAACTGAGATCAAATCCCTGCTCCACGTTAACATAGTCTCTTTTACCTGTTCCTCATACATTGCCTGATCAATTCAGTTAATATTAGAACAATTATGTTAGAACAATTAACCAGTGGAACAACCTGCCTCCAGAAGTGGTGAATGCTCCAACACTGGAAGCCTTTAAGAAGAGACTGGACAGCCATTTGTCCAAAATGGTATAGGGTTTCCTGCCTGAGCAGGGGGTTGGACTAGATGACCTCCAAGGTCCCTTCCAACTTTATTCTTATTATTCTTATTATTCTTATTATTCTTATTATTCTTATTATTCTTATTATTCTTATTATTATTATTATTATTATTCTTATTATTATTATATTTGAAAGGAAAGGGGAAATAAGAGAAAGAGTAAAATATATTTTGATATACGAAACCTCTCGCCAGCCCAAATGCTTTTCTAACTTGGGCAGGAAGCCCTTGACTTAACGGCCACAGCTGAGTTGGAAAGTTCCCTTGTGAGGCAAAAGAATAAAGTCAACTTTGCCCCATTTTACGACCGTTCTTGCCACGGCTCTTAAGCGAATCACTCTGCAGTTAAGTGAGTGACACGACTGTGAAGTGAATTTGGCTTCCCCCCTTTGACTTTGCTTGTCAGAAGGCCGCAAAAGGGGATCGCCTGACCCCGGGACGCCGCAACTGGCACAAGTACATGCCAGTGGCCAACCCTCCTAAATGCGAGTCCTTCGCCAAGCCGTTGAACTTAGATCCTGTGACTTTGGGAAGCGGCAGTGTGAAAAATAGCTGGTTTTTTCCAGGGCTGTCGTAACTTTGAACGGTCCCTAAACCAACTGTAAGTCGAGGACTTTATTGCGAGAGAGACTTATTGTGTTTGCCGTTCCTAACCAGACCGGGTCCTTGCCTTGGCAGGGTTTGAACGCAGGACAAAAACGCTATTTTTACAGCATTCTGAGCATCTACGACAGCCGAGGCCAGAGGGAAGCACTGTCCCACCGATACACCATCGGCCTTCAGCGCCAAAATGCGCTCGGTGAGTGCCAGCCCAGGTGGGGCCGCGCATCAACCATCCAATTTCTCCGAATTGGAACGCTGTGGGGAAAAGCCGGGGATGATGAGGCCAGTTTTATGGGCCGTGAAGGCACATCTCAGTCGTAGCTGGAGCGCACACCGCTTTACGGGCAGGGTTCCCACAGCCTTCAGCCCCCAAAAGCTTTGTTTTGCCCAGCAGAGGCAGGGCGAGCATTCGTGCGGGGTGCGCATTAATGCGCTCTGCTGTGTTATGTGCTCCTGGCTACTTTCCTTCGTGACCAGAGGCGAGCTTGCCTGACCAATAACTAGCCAAGGCACAATGAAGGCCTTTTGTTTCGTTTATTGCAATAAGCGGGGAGAGAAGCTGAAAAAAAAAAAAGCTATCAACATATAAGGAACGGTTGCTGAAATTGGGTATGTCTAATTTAATGAAGAGAAGGATGAGGGGGGGCAGGATAGCCGTGTTCCAATATCTCAGGGGCTGCCCCAAAGAAGAGGGAGTCAAGCTATTTTCCAAAGCCCCTGAAGGCAGAAGAAGAAGCAATGGGTGGAAGCTAACCAAAGAGAGAAGCAACCTGGAACTAAGGAGAAACTTCCTGACAGTCAGAACAATTAACCAGTGGAACAACCTGCCTCCAGAAGTGGTGAATGCTCCAACACTGGAAGCTTTTAAGAAGAGACTGGACAGCCATTTGTTCGAAATGGTATAGGGTTACCTGCCTGAGCAGGGGGTTGGACTAGATGACCTCCAAGTCCCTTCCAACTTTATTATTATTATTATTATTATTATTATTATTATTATTATTATTATTATTATTATTATTATTACTACTACTACTACTACTACTACTACTACTACTACTACTACTATTATTATTATTATTATTATTATTATTATTATTATTATTATTATTATTATTATTATTATTATTATTATTATTATTATTTAAAAGGCGTCCCGAGACAGCTGAAAAATAAAACCTTTGGAGTGAATCTCTCCCCTCCCCCAAAAAGAGAGAGAAATCCGAGTTCTGCAAAATGCATGACGTATATCTTCACGTGTGCAGGGAATCCTCATCTTACGACCACGACAGAGCCCAACGTTTCCGTGGCTCAACAAGGGAGTTTTGCTCCGTTTTACCACTTTTCTGGCCACGGACGTTAAGCGAATCACAGCGGTTCTTAAGTGATATCGGGCTTCCCCGTTGACTTGGCTTGTCAGAAAGTCGTCCTCTTTACAGGGAGTCCTCGACGTACAACCAAGGTGGAGGCCAAAATTTCTGTTGCTAGGTGAGACACTTGTGAAGTGAACTTTGCCCCATTTTAAGAGCTTGTGCTTAAGTCAATCACTGCAGTTGTTAAGTTAGTAACACGGCTGTTAAGTGAAGTTGGCTTCCCCTGTTGACTTTACTTGTCAGGAGGTGGTGATCATGTGATGCCGGGAAGCTGCAACCGTCGTAAGTACACGCCAGTTGCCAAGCCTCTGAATTTTGATCACGTGACCCTGGGGATGCTGCAACGGTCGTAAGTGTGAAAAACGGTCATAACTCACTTCTTTCGGTGCCATTGTAAGCGAACTGTTTTGTAAGTCCAGAACTATCTGTATTTAAAGGAAGAAAAACGTGCAATTTAATATCCAAAGAGAAACATTTGCAAAAATATTTTAACTTCCTTCCTAAATCTTAAATAAATGAATGCCATCCTTGGTAGGACAAGCCGGAAGTAAAAATGCAGTTGGTTCAGCAGAGTTTCTCTCCAAAGTTATATCAAAAAAATAAAATACAAATAAAACTTGGAACTATGTTGTGGGAGGATTTTGACTTCGGATCAGAATCCACAGATGGACGATTCCTCTCTGTGGGGCGAGCAAAATGTCTCAACTGAATGGCCAAATGGGGCCAGAATTTAAATGAAAACCTGCTTCCCTGCCTGAAAATGTATCTCTTTATAGTCTGAATTTTGTTTAAAAAATGTCTCTTTTTGTTTCCTTCCAATCCCACCGACTTTCGCCGTTTTGGCCCGCTGTCTGTTTTTAAATATATATATATATATATTTATTCGCAACGCCCAGCCCGTAAAATCTTTCCCCAACCCAATTTGGCTCAAGGTTTTCCCCGACAGACGGCCGATGTTTTTCAGACACAAGCTTTTCCAAGCTGTGCTAAAATGTTGTGTGACCTTGAGGCGAAAACACGGCACAGATTGCGACGGAAATGTCCGCGGAGGCTCTCAAGTCATCCAGGTTTATCCCAAAGCTGCTTTTGCAAGAGGCAACTGGAACTATTTTTTCTTTGAAGACGTTTCTCTCCTCATCCAAGAAGCTTCTTCAGTTCTGACTGAAGGATTGAACACTGGGCGCTATCTAACAAAATGAAATTCAATGGTGAAAAAAGCAAGGTTCTACATTTAGGCAAGAAAACCCAAATGTACAGGTATAGTATAGGGGGTACCTTGCTCCATAGTAGTAACTGGGAGAGGGACCTCGGAGTCCTAGTGGACAATCACTTAAATAGGAGCCAGCAGTGTGCTGCAGCTGCCAAAAAGGCCAACACAGTGCTAGGCTGCATTAACAGAGGGATAGAATCAAGATCACGTGAAGTTTTAATACCACTTTACAAGGCCTTGGTAAGGCCACACTTGGAATACTGGATCCAGTTTTGGTCACCGTGATGTAAAAAAGATGCTGAGACTCTAGAAAGAGTGCAGAGAAGAGCAACAAAGATGATCAGGGGACTGGAGGCCAAAGCATATAAGGAACAGTTGCTGGAATTGGGTCTGTCTAGTTTAATGACAAGAAGGACGATAATAATAAAGTTGGAAGGGACCTTGGAGGTCATCGAGTCCAACCCCCTGCTCAGGTAGGAAACCCTACACCATTTCGGACAAATGGCTGTCCAGTCTCTTCTTAAAAACTTCCAGTGTTGGAGCACCCACAACTTCTGGAGGCAGGTTGTTCCCCTGGTTAATTGTTCTGACTGTCAGGAAGTTTCTCCTTAGTTCCAGGTTGCTTCTCTCCTTGATCAATTTTCATCCATTGCTTCTTCTTGTCCTGCCTTCAGGTGCTTTGGAGAAGAGCTTGACTCCCTCTTCTTTGGGGCAGCCCCTGAGATGTTGGAACGCTGCTGTCATGTCCCCCCTCGTCCTTCTCTTCGTTAAACCAGACATAACCCTGAGCTACAAATATTGAGTTCTGTCATATCTGCAAGCGTTTGGATGCCATTAATAGTAATTCCCAAATCTTTAGGCTAGCGGAGTTAGAAAAAAAATACACTGGTGGAAGATGATAGCAAACAACATATAGTGTAGCCTTGCAAACGACAAGGATATATATGCTTAGAAAGTCACCAGGCCTCAAGGTGAACTGAACACAGAGTTATCTGAAAATGCAAAACAGGTTTTTTTTTTTTAGGTTTTCAAACCGTAGTCTCTCCTATCCATATCTGAAGAAACCTGAGTTCTCACAGCCATAAATTCTGTCTCTGCATTTTAACGTTTGGCTCAGTTGCAAAACTTGAGTTTACTTGTTCTGTGAGTAATGAAATATGTGGACAGAACAGGAACAATTACCGTAGGGATAAAACTGGAGTCCTTTTTTTTCTCTCTCTCCCTGGGAACCCATCATATATTTACGCTTTGGTGAACTTTGATCGACGAAATTACAGGCAGACTTCAATTTGGGCTTTATTTCAATTGTAGAATAGAAGAGAACTGTTTGTTTTAAATCAGCCTGACTCTAAGAAACGGCTCGGTCTGTTCCAGGTTGGTTTCCCCCCTTCAAGAGAAATCTGATTTTTTTTTCCCCCATCATTTCGGAAAGCAGAACGTTGTTATTCTAAACCAGTGGTTCTCAACCTGTGGGTTGGGACCCCATTTGGGGTCGATCAACCATTTCATGGGGGTCGCCAAGCAAGGCTATCCGCCATTTTTTTGTCCACCATTTTTTTTTGTCCGCCATTTTTTGCCCCCTTTTCCGGCGGGTGCCTTACCTCCCTTGGGCTGGGCCAGCTGGTGGTCGGCCTGCTCCGTCTCTGCCGCTTGCCAGCTACGCCTCGGCCGGCGCAGGGGGCGGAAACACGTATGCGCAATGCTCCTGGGCAGGGAAAGTCCTCGACATACGACCGGTTTAGTCCTCGACTTACGACTGGTTTAGTCCTCGACTTACGACCGGTTTAGTCCTCAACTTACGACCGGTTGGGGTCGCGGCATTAAAAAGGTTGAGAACCACTGTTCTAAACAATGCTTGATTATATCCAATCAGGGTGCTTTGTTTTGTGTGTGTGTGTGTGTGTGTAAATGACAGAGAAAGAGGCCAATCTAAAAGGAAGCGGCGAGAGAAATATTTGTCTCATAATTAAGGCAAGGACACAAGTAGGTCTCTCCCTCTTTCCCTCCTACAATTTATCGGAAAACCGTGTCACATCACCACAGGGACAACAGATGCCGGCAGGCTGTTGCGAAGCTCTTCTTGCAATTAAGGTTGTTATTTTCCAACTTTGCAGTCTAGGCATGGCAGGGAACCCTCTCCAGTCCATCAGGTTTTATGGCCTCGCCAACTCACGCTGTCTATGGCGATGGCCCTCCACCCGCGGTTCAGTCATCCTGGACGGGTTTTTTTTGAGGTTTTGGGGCCAAAGTAGCAACTAGCTATTGGAATAACAGCTGAGTTTTCCACCCCCTCCATCCTTCTCTTCTTATCCAAGAGCCGATGGAGTTGTGAGTGCTAGGGGCCCAGCTGACAATCCTTGACCTCCTTTTCAAATCCGTTTTCAGGGCTCATCACCAAGAGGCAGTTGGGATACTACGCTTCCTTCCTAAAAGATTCGACACCTTGCGGAAGGTCGACGCTAGGAAGAGCGTCGGCCTCCTAAGCAGAGGGCAAGGGGAGCCCAGTTGCCTTTCTGTGATTAAACAGGAATCAAAGAAGGAAGGCCCAGAAGCTCAGCAGGCGAGGATGAATCACGGTTTGGCGTTTGGGGAAGAACGGGGCAGTTGGCCTTCGGCCGGTCCGGCTTTTTGCAAAATGCAACGGCCATTTTGGAAAGAAGAGACTGGACTTGTTTGAAGAGAGGCCACCTTGGCTGGCGAATGAAACAAGAGGCTCCTTGCGGAAGTTTCCGTGTTTTAGGCCCGACCCTTGCATTAAAACATCTTACGGAAATCTGTGTGAATTTTGCCAACCCTTGGTCTGAAACGGTATGGGGTTTCCTGCCTAAGCAGGGGGTTGGACTAGAAGACCTCCGAGGTCCCTTCCAAATCCATTATCCTCCTCCTCCTCCTCCTTTTTAAGAAGAGACTGGACAGCCATTTGTCTGAAGTGGTATGGGGTTTAATGCCTAAACAGGGGGTTGGATTAGAAGACCTCCGAGGTCCCTTCTGAGTCTGTTATTATTTTCCTTCCTTCCTTCCTTCCTTCCTTCCTTCCTCCCTCCCTCCCTCCCTCCCTTCCTTCCTTCCTTCTTTAACACTGGAAGTTTTTAAGAAGAGACTGGACAGCCATTTGTCTGAAATGGTATGGGGTTTCCTGCCTGAGCAGTGGGTTGGACTAGATGACCTCTAAGGTCCCTTCCCACTCTGTTATTCTTTTCCTTCCTTCCTTCCTTCCTTCCTTCCTTCCTTCCTTCCTTCCTTCCTTCCTTCCCTCCTTCCTTCCTTCCTCCCTTCCTCCCTCCCTCCCTCCCTTCTCCAACAGTGGAAGTTTTTAAGAAGAGACCGGACAGCCATTTGTCTGAAACGGTATGGGGTTTCCTGCCCGAGCAGGGGGTTGGACTAGAAGACCTCCGAGGTCCCTTCCCACTCTGTCATTCTATGACTCAAAATGGTGGTTTCCTTGTTGGCCTCTGCGGTAGGGGACAAGACGTAAACTCTGAGACGACGGGAGCTGAGATTTACCACGCGTTGGTCAGGAGAAATGGACGTCTGGCGAGCACCAAAGGGGAGGCTACCCACGGAATTAGTAACGACCAGAGAGGACACGTCGCAATTGTGGCATAGCCTCTGAATGCACAATCGTTATTTTGCCGTCCTTCCTACAGCACAAACTGGTTTTTTGAACCTACACAGGTACTTTGCAGAGACCGTACCTTAATTTTATGGAGGGGATACAGGGAGTCCTCGACCTTATTTCCGTTGCTAAGCGAGGCCGTTGCTAATGGAGGGTAGCCCCACTTCACACCCTTGCTTGCCACAGTTGTTTAAGTGAACCTCTGCAAGAGTTAAATTAGTCACACGGTCGTTAAGTGGATCTGGCTTCCCCCACTGGCTTTGCTTGTCGGAAGGCCGCAAAAGGGGATCACATAACCCCCCATTGGACACTGCAACCGTCACAAGTACATGCCAGTTGCCGAGCCTCTGAATATTGATCACGTGACCCTGGGGAGGCTGCAACGGTCGTAAGTGTGAAAAACGGTCCCAAGTCATTTTTCTCGGTGCCGTTGTAACTTCGAACGGTCACTAAATGAACTGTCGTAGATTGAGGACCACCTATGTAAGCTCGGGTCCAGCAAGTGACAGTTTGAACAATTGACCCATGGAACAAACTGCCTCCAGAAGTTGGGGATGCTCCAATGCTGGAAGTTTTTAAGAAGAGACTGGACAGCCATTTTGTCCGAAATGGTGTAGGGTTTCCTGCCTGAGCAGGGGGTTGGGCTAGATGACCTCCAAGGTCCCTTCGAACTCTGTTATTGTATTGTATTGTAGGTGTGTTCTGGATATATAGATGCATGCTACTCACTAATGGAAACAGGCTAAAGTATGTGGGACGGGATCCCAAATGCCACAGCTTGAAACTTTTAAGTACAGGACTTTGCTTTATTATTGGGTATAAGCTTCCATTTCTTTAAGCAGTTCGATCAAGCTCATAAAGGCTACATTTTTGTGCCTGATTGTGTAGTTTACCAGACAACTGGCTCAGAGGGAAAAAAAGCATTAGCACGCATAGTTATGGGGAGGCAGCTTTACGCAGAAACTCAAGCATGACACTTTTGTAGACAGATGGCGTTTGTATTTCTCTCTGGGTATTAAAATTGTCCTGACACCTCGGTAAAAGATTAAGGATGTCGTGGGAAAAAACCCCCAAAGCTTCATCTGTGCTCTGGGAGAAAAAAACGGAGTGTGAATTCAATAATAAGTTCAATAATTCTAGAATTCCATAATCAAATAATTGGATAAATTGAACAGTTCGATAAACAAACTCAAGGGGTTTAAGGTCTACTGGGAATGAAAGAAATCCGCAGGGCGGTTTGTAGGAAAATTGTCTTCTACTCATGAAACCCCAAATATCCCCATGGAGCAGTAGGTGATGTGTCTACACCAGGGGTAGTCAACCTTGGCTCGTTTATGACTCGTGGACTTCAACTCCCAGAATTCCTGAGCCAGCTAAGCTGGCTCAGGAATTCTGGGAATTGAAGTCCACGAGTCATGAACGAGCCAAGGTTGACTACCCCTGGTCTACACCATCTCCAGGTAGAACAAGAAGCGACGGATGGAAACTAATCAAGGAGAGAAGCAACCTAGAACTAAGGAGAAACTTCCTGACAGTGAGAACAATTAACCAGTGGAACAACCTGCCTCCAGAAGTTGTGGCTGCTCCACCCCTGGAGATTTTTAGGAAGAGATTGGACAACCACTTGTCAGATTGATACAGGGTCTCCTGCTTGAGCAAACGGCTGGACTAGAAGACCTCCAAGGGTCCCTTCCAACTCTGTTATTCTGTTACATGACTTCCCTGTGTGTCTGCACCACGGACCCCCTGAGTAGTGGACTTCATTTAGTTCTCATGTCTTTTGTTCGACGTTTTTCGAGAACCATGTTCCTCAACCTTGGCAACGTTAAGACGCGTGGACTTTAACTCCCAGAAGGAAAGGTGAGAGGTCTCCTGGGTGGGGAATTCTGGGAATCACAGTCCACGTAGCTTAAACCTTCCTGAGGTTGAGAAACACTCTCTTAGAAGGACCTCCATTCTTCAAGTCCTTTTGTTCTCCTCAAGGAACTTCTTCTTCGTTTCTCCTTTGGAACGGCTTTGCCTTCAGAAATCGTGGGTGCTCCATCACTGGAGGTTTTTAAGAAGAGACTGGACAGCCATTTGTCTGAGATGGTATAGGCTCTCCAGCTTGAGCAGGGGGCTGGACTAGAAGACCTCCAAGGTCCCTTCCAATTCTATTCTATTCTATTCTATTCTATTCTATTCTATTCTATTCTATTCTATTTTATATTTTCTGTTCTGTTCCTGCATTCCATTCCATATATTCTATTCTATTCTGTTCTGTTCCTGCATTCTATTCTATTCTATTCTATTCTATTCTATTCTATTCTATTCTATTCTATTCTATTCTATTCTATTCTATTCTATTCTATTCTATTCTATATTTTCTGTTCTGTTCTGTTCCTGCATTCCATTCCATATATTCTATTCTATTCTATTCTATTCTATTCTATTCTATTCTATTCTATTCTATTCTATTCTATTCTATTCTATTCTATATTTTCTGTTCTGTTCTGTTCCTGCATTCCATTCCATATATTCTATTCTATTCTATTCTATTCTATTCTATTCTATTCTATTCTATTCTATTCTATTCTATTCTATTCTATTCTATTCTATTCCATTCCATTCCATTCCATTCCATTCTATATATGACCTACATTTAATCAAAGTCCTGACCCCAGCTACTACAGGGGCAGAGGGTTGGACTAGATGATCTACAAGACCCATTCCAAATTTTGTTATTCTATTCTATTCTATTCTATTCTATTCTATTCTATTCTATTCTATTCTATTCTATTCTATTCTATTCTATTCTATTCTATTCCTAACAGCAAGGACAATTAACCAGTGGAACAGCTTGCCTGCAGAAGTTGTGGGTGCTCCATCACTGCAGAGGGGGAGGGATTTAAGAAGAGATTGACAGCCATTTGTCTGGAATAGTATAGGGTCTCCTGCTTGAGCAGGGGGCTGGACTAGAAGACCTCCAAGGTACCTCCCAGCTCTATTCTGATTCTGATTCTCAGGGTGGGGAATCGTCGCAGATCCCTGGAAACCCACAATGCCTCCAAGCCACTTTCTCTTAATTATAATCCCCAAATAAGGTCGTTGTAAAACCTCAAACCACCTCAAACACGAGTCATCCAGGAACAGCCTGGAAGACAGTCATCCACAATGTGTGGGAGCCTTGTCCTCACAATGGGGAGGTAGCCTCCGAACGGCTGCTGAAGTTCTTATTGCAATGATTGTGCAGCCAACAACAGTTTTACAAGGAGAGCCTGAAGACCGGACACCTCGAAGGAAAACAAAGCCAGCCCTGAGAGACACAAGCACAAGGGCCATTTTCTTTGCAGTTGACTGTTTCAACACAACGCCCTTTTTCTCAGCTTACCACCAAAATATTGGCTCAGAGATTTGTCAGAGGTCACCGAGAAGACAAGGCTCCACCAAAGCTTTGGTGATTAATCCAGATGAAATGTGTGTCACAGTGGACTTGGTGCTTCCCCAGAAGATCATGTTCAGGCTATGAAGGTCAGCACTCAGCTGGAATAGAATAGAATAGAATAGAATAGAGTAGAGTAGAGTAGAGTAGAGTAGAGTAGAGTAGAGTAGAGTAGAGTAGAGTAGAGTAGAGTAGAGTAGAGTAGAGTAGAGTAGAGTAGAGTAGAGTAGAGTAGGCTGGAATAGAATAGAATAGAATAGAATAGAATAGAGTAGAATAGAACAGAGTAGAGTAGAGTAGAGTAGAGTAGAGTAGAGTAGAGTAGAGTAGAGTAGAGTAGAGTAGGGTGGAATAGAATAGAATAGAATAGAATAGAATAGAACAGAGTAGAGTAGAGTAGAGTAGAGTAGAGTAGAGTAGAGTAGAGTAGAATAGAACAGAGTAGAGTAGAGTAGAGTAGAGTAGAGTAGGGTGGAATAGAATAGAATAGAATAGAATAGAATAGAATAGAATAGAATAGAATAGAGCTGGAAGAGATCTTGGAGGTCTTCTAGTCCACCCCCCAGCAGGAGAACCTGCACCATCTCAGACAGGTGATTGTCTAGAAGACGTTTCTCCTTAGTTCCAGGTTGCTTCTCTCCTTGATGAGTTTCCATCCGTTGCTTCTTGTTCTGCCTTCAGGG